TACATACATACATACATACATACATACATACATACATACATACATACATACATACTATACATACATACATACATACATACACACATACATACATACATACATTCATACATACATACATAAACGGTCGCTCGCTCACCTTGTACCAAGAAAAAAACGAGAAGAGTTCTCAGAGATGGCATTGTTGATTAAAAGCACAGGATTCACACCATCAAGAAGGCCCCCGTGTCAAAACATGGCCAAACCCCACAGTTAGAAAGAATTTCCTTCTTCTGTAGACAGTAAATAGCACAGAAGGCGCCAACCGCACAATACTGTCGCCCACTGAGAAGGAACCGTCTGGAATGTGCGTGCACAGAGGAGCTGTGCGTAGATGTATAGAAAGCCCAAAGACATAAACAAGGAAGTAGATTGTTCTGGATCTTGTTACATCTTCCTATCCATATAAAAATGTTGGTTTTTTTATGTGTCGTTGTATTGTGTTCTTGTTCTATTGCATACACAGAAGGCGTACAGTGTAGGTGTCGGTTCGCTGCCCCAGAAGTAGAGTGTTCCATCTGCTCAGTATTATTATCTGTCTCTCACTCCTCCCTCTCTCGCTTCTCTTTTCTGTCTTTTGTTCTCTCTCCCCCTTATCTCTCTCTCTGTCTCTCTCTCTCTCTCTCTGTCTCTCTCTCTCTCTCTCTCTCTCTCTCTCTCTCTCTCTCTCTCTCTCACCTCCACGACCATTCCAAATCTGGACTCAATTTCTCCTTGTTTCTTTATTTTTTTCTTTTCATTAATCGCCTTTTATACTTTATCACTATTATTTTTTTGCTTCTTTTTCTTACTTTCTTTTTTTCTTTTTCCAATCCTTGTTTCTTCCTTTCTCTCTCTCTTTCTTTCTTTCTTTCTTTCTTTCTTTCCCCTGTTTCTTCTTTTTCTTTCTATCTTAAAAAGTTTTTTGCTCCTTTCTCTACTTCTTTCTTCTTTTGCTGACATCTATTTTCTTTGGGGATGTCGGGAGCCGGTATGACGGGCTGAGCAGAAAGGCCTCTGTCCGCCATGTTGAGTCGTGCAAAGGTTATGTTGTGGGAGAGTCTGAGGCGATATGATCGATCAGGCCGGGGAGAACACGGGAAATGTCACAGGAAATGTTATACATGCATTTTCTATATGCATCATACGTGAGATAGCGTGGTGGAATCAGGCTCTCGTCAATTTTGGGACCTGTGGAGTATTGGTATCATCTTTAAGCTTGTTCACTTGTCTTTATTTGGATTAAAAAATATCCATTCATCTTGAATGCAAGTCGAGATATTTGCGAAAGAAGGAGGTGGGGGTCACCTGTTTTCAGAGGTAACATTAGTGAGAAAATGGCGGCCAAAGATTAGTTATTTCCTTAGCTTAAGAGTCCGTGGTAACAGAAAATTTACATTTTTCAAAGGTTTTCAGAAAAATCCTAACAGAAATTAGTTCTTTAATGGGCATGAAAGGTGTTGAGCCAAAAAAAAAAAAATTTGATAAAAATTCACAAACCTGCGGAAAAAATGCCAGTTTCTTCACTTTCGTTATTTTGACGAGAGCCTGATTCCACCACGCTGCCTCACACACACACTATCTATCTATCTATCTATCGATCTATCTATCTATGTACAAAATAAACATT